CCTTTTGAGATCTGAGTTTCAGAGCTTGTTCACTATCCAAAGCATCTTCAAGCTGTGTTTAATTTTTTCTGTGTCTCTAGTATCTATTTCTGCTGCTGAGCTCTAGCTTAGCTTTTTCATTGCCCCAAGTTTGGATTATGTACGAACCTCCTAATTAGTCACCTGGTCTTCCTAGTTCCCCTGCCTATTATCTTGTATGCTGGTATCCAATTATTATAACAATTTTATCCAGATATAATTTATATACCATTAAGTTCACCTGTTTAAATATGCAATTCACTAGTTTTTAGTATATTTACAAATTTATACAGTCATTACCATAATCTAATTTTAGAGCATTTTCATCACCCCCCAAAAGAAACTCACACTTATTAGCAGTGAGACCCTCCCATTCCTGCTAACCACCAGCCTTGGCAACCTCTTCAATTTTTATGTAAAACATGGCTTTTATTGTGTTCCCCTCCAGCTAGAAGGGCTTCAGTATCTTCCCTGTCCCTGTGATTAAGAAAACATTATTCACCTGGAATTCAGATTTTTTCCATAATTTGGTTTCAGCCTAATTTTCCAACTTTAACTTACACCCTTCCCCAGTCTGAATGTACAGCTCTTGTAAGTTGATCTTCTCTCTGTTCTTGAGAATTCTGTGAACAAGCATTTGGCTTCCACTGTTCCTCTATCTAAATCTGTCTGTGGTTTGAGGCCCATCTTGAGTCCTACCTGTGAATCTTTTCCCAAGTAATTTAGCCTACAGTGAGTTCTCCTTTGGACTTAAACCTCCATAGCAACTTCTTTGGGCATTTAATTATAAACTGCCCTGTGGGACCCCTTCCCTTGTGGTATTCAGCTTTTCATGATGTGTTGATTCCTTAAATTGATTGTAAGCTTCTTGAGGGCAGGGACTGTGTATGCTTTTTCTTTATCCTCTGTAGCTTAACCTATGGCTATACACAGAAATACCATGTAAATATAATGGGATGAATAATGTTGGCATAGAGAAAAGTGCTGAATTTGGACTTTGTGATAGCCACAGACTTCAAAGCCTTATTAGACATGTCCGTGTTCTATACAGCTTTGCTTTGCCTACAGTTTGATACTACATTCTGTCATTAATTCATTCAGTAAGCATTTATTGGTACCATGTTTTGTCTATTAATTTTTCAAAACCCTATTCTTAATTTGATTATCTTTTTCTTACTGTCTTCATGTAGCTGAATTCTCTGATAGCTTTCAGCTCTGTGTTATTCTTGAAATTTTCTGCTGTTTGTAGGACTTCCATAGTAGTACATTATCACAGCCTCTACAGACCTATACAGTCCTATCGTTATACATATTGTAGGACTCTATTATTATAGGTTAGTACATAACCTCAGTCTCTGTGTTCCCATTATTATGTGCTTTCATGCTGTGTCTCACCATGGAAGTATGTTCTGAGCAATGCTGTGATGCAGGGTGACAAGTGCTATGGGAGATGGTTGCTTTCCTCAAGTCACTTACGGCCTGATTGGGAACATAGAATGGCATTTTTAGTTTGAAACCATAGCAAGAAAAGTATATTTGATTTTATTAATTTGGCTTCTGTTAAACTATTCTCATCAAGGCTAATTGCTTTAGGAAAGTCTTCTGCTTTGATCACAAGTATTAATAAGTAAAAGATTTGTTAATTAAGTTTCATCTCTATTGTGAAACCCTGGATAGGATGACTACAACGAAGATGCAACTTATAAATATTTTTTTTTTCTCCCAGTAAAGGATTTTAAGTAGTAAAACTAAACACTTTTATAGCACGTGTTTGGTAATATTTAGTGAGTACTTATTGTTAGCCAGGCACTGTTTTAAGTTCTGTACACACTTACATACTTAATACACTAAATGTATTATCTTATTTAGTACTTGAAACAACCCTGTGAGGAGTGGACATTATTATTATTTCCATTTTTCAGATGAGGAAACTAAGGACCACAAAAGGTTAAGTAACTGCCTTTAGGTCATGCAGCTAGAGAGTGTTATAACCAGGATTCAAATCCAGGGAGTCTGACTCTAGAGCTGAGTTCTTAACCATCATACATACCATCTTAGAAGAGTTAGGAGTTATACAGAAATCTAGTTAAACGTCTAGATTTTTAAGGAACTCACAGTTTTACGGTAGGAATTGACTTAAAAAACCCAAATATCTATAACATAGTATCATGAATGTTTTAATAGAGGAGTGGGTGCTCAGGATTATAGCAGCCCAAAGGAGGGCTTGATTTCTTTTGCTATGGCAGATTGGGAGCTGGAGGAGACCTTTGAGGACAGGATGTGTCTCACTTTTTTTGTATCCCTAGAACCTAGCAGAGTACCTGGCTTATGGAAGATGATCAGTAGATGATAAATAAATTAGTGGTCTACTCTCTGCTGTTCAGTATGGTAGCTAATTGCCACATATGGCTATGGAGCACTTGAAATGTGGCTGGTCAGAATTGAGATGTGCTGAGTGTGAAATACTGGATTTTTGGAGACTTATTTTAAGAAAAAGATTGTAAAATATCTCTTTTTAAAATACTGGTTATATGTTGAAGTGATAATATTTATATTTGGTATATTGGGCTAAATAAAGCATATGATTAAAATTAATTTACCTCGGGCCGGCCCGGTGGCGCACTGGATAGTGCGCCGCTTGGGAAGCGCGGCAGCGCTCCCGTCCGAGGGTTCCGATCCCACGTACTGACCGGCTCCCGCTCACTGGCTGAGCGAGGCGCGGGAGCAGCGCCGAGGCTTGCGATCCCGTCGCCGGTCCCCGGTCCGGTGCGGGGGCAACACTGAGGGTTGCGATCCGTTGCCGGACACGGAAAAAAGACAAAAAAAAAAAAAAAAAAAAAAATTAATTTACCTGTTTTAACCTTTTTTAATGTGACCACTAGAGAATATAAAATTACATATGTGTCTTGTATTATACTTCTGTTAGTGCTGATCTCATTCAGCTCCCTCAGAGAGAGGACGTGGTTTGAACACGGTCACTGAGTAGCAAAGACAATTTTAAAAATTGAATTTGTCTGTTGGACTCCCTGACTTATAGTTCAGTTCTTTTTCTAGGCATACATTAAATTACTGCAATGTAAATATATAAATTTTGAGGTAAAGTGGCATCACTTGTTTTTTTTTTTTTTTTTGTCTTTTTCATAACCGGTAAGGGGATTGCAACCCTTGGTGTGGTGTCACCCACACCGCGCTCAGCCAGTGAGCGCACCGGCCATTCCTATATAAGATCCGAACCCGCGGCGCTCTCAGCGCTGTACTCTCTGGAGTGCGCCACGGGCTCGGCCCAAAGTGGCATCACTTTGGTCTTGTGACCTGATTTCTCTGCTTTAGTTATTCTATCTTTGAGCTTAATAATTAAAGTTTTTTCATTTATATGTAAATTTTGATCTCCTGAAAATGTGCATTTTTAGTTCTCAGTTTTTTCACATTTGACACCTTTATTCCCACTTCTCTCTTGATCTTTCTCTTCCTATACACTTACATATATGCACAACTTCCTATTTCATTCCTTATTGATTTGTTTCCATTAACATCCTTCAGATTTTATTAACATCTTTATTTGTACGAGGGTACTTTAAAAAGCTCACAGAAAGATTCGTATTATCTTTTAATTCTATCTTTTCATGAAGTACCCTCATATTTTGGGGAGATAAGCTCTTTGCTGTTACATGACGTGCTGTATGTATGTAAATAGCTGGTTGTTTTAGTGGTATGGTTCATGCATTAGTTATCTCACATTCTCTCAAAACCACATGAAGGTATAGGTCCTATTATCCTGGTATAACAGTTATGAAATCTCAGGCACAAGAGGATAGTATGCTCAAGGTCACACAGCTGATAGTGCACAGAATCTGTAAGCTAGAGCTATAAGATAGAAGTAGCAGGAAGCCTGAAAATTTTTCCTGCTTTTGGACAGTCCTGTAAACATTGGGTGACTCTGAATTCATGGAGCTCAGGATTAATGTATTGGTGTATATGCCACAAAAAGAAGTACAAATATCTATTCCAAAATATGTATGTGTGTGTGTGTGCCTATGCATATATGAGTGTATTGGGGAGAGGGATAGAGATCGAGAGAGAGAATGAATGAATGAACATGATTGGTTTTGAAGAGTGGTCCTCAGGTCTTTGTCTTTCTTGCCCTGTTCTCTCTCTCCTTCCTGACTCTTTCCTGTTTCTGACAGTGCTGTTACTCACCATGCTTCCATTTTCTTCACTTCCACTCAGGTCAGTTCAAGTCATTACACCTAAGTCTGACCAGATGTTCATCAACATGTTTACATGGTTCTCTGTGGATAGAAGGATCTTAGGGGGCTTTAAATGTCTTTTTAACTTGCTCTTTATTTGGACTTTTTCTTAACAATGAACATATACAAGGAAAAAAAAAAAAACAAAAAAAAAAACCAAGCAAAAAAACTGTGAAAAGAACAGCAAAATTATTTTCATTTGGGGAAAAAAAAAAAAATAATCAATACGCTTGGTAGTTTTTGTTCCAAAAATTTTTTACCCTAAAGTTTTAGAATGCCGCAACTTGCTGTCTGCCATGCAGTGTTCTTTGGCCTCAATTTCATAGTCCCACAGGTGAATGATTAAGTTCATTTCCCAAAAGTCAATGCTGTATACACCACCTCTCTGTCACAGAGGTGAACTTTCTTCTAGACTTAGCATTTATTTCTTTAGCAAAGATGTTTAGTTTCCTTTTTAGATTGTTTTAAAACAGCAGTAGTTCATAGTGGTCACATCCTGCAAATATTTTTAAATGCTTTGAATCTAAACAGTCTACCTGCTGTGTTTGTGGCATAATGGGAATTGGAAGGGATCCTGGATTTTATCCAATTCCCTGTGTGATAAATTTCCTTTTCAAATTGCCCAGCAGGTGGTTGACAAGGTGTGAATTTATTTGCTGTTTCAGAACCTTTGAAAAGTCCATATTTTTCAGATTGCTTTTCACTGTTTAATGACCTAGTTTATGTTCTTTTAAGATGCTAGTGATCAAAGAGAAGATGTTTATATTGGAAACTACATGCCTTGCCCTGAAAACCTCAATGGTTACTGTATCCATGGGAAATGTGAATTCATCTATTCTACTCAGAAAGCTTCCTGTAGGTAAGTCAGTGCTTCAGGTCAGTGGCGAGAAGTTTTTTTCCATCAATGGTCACTGCTCTTTAGAAGTCAATGAAATGTAGACTATTACTAAAAAAGTAGTGTTTATGTGCAGTAGACAAGTAAAAAATAAATCAGCAGAATCATTTGGGGGAAAAAACTGGCAAATAATATGCAAAAACAAAAACAGATGTTTTATTAGTGTTTTGAAATTATGGACTTAACATTTTTAATACAGTGTGATATTTTTTAATATAAAAAATAAATATGCCATATTACAGCATTTTTGGTTTTCAGGCAATTTTGGTTTCTAGGCAATCTGTCACAAGGTGGTTGAGAGACTGAAGAATGTATTAAGAAAAGAGAACATGTAACTCAAATAAAATGTATGTTAAAATAGATTTCTAAAAACAAGGGGATGGTGGTGAATAACGAGGTATGAATTGAGAAATGGAAAGGGCATAATGACTCCAGAGAGGTTATGTAACTTGTCAAGGTCACCAGCAAGTTAGAAATAGAGATGGGAAAAAAACTAGATCTAAAATTTCCCAGTACTCAACCTAATGTTCTTAGTGATTTTCACTGCTGTGTGTCTGTCTGCTGATATCCCAGCTCGCTGCTGCTGCTGCCAGGATCTCATCTTCTTCCTCAGGTTGGTCTCATTAGCCAGGTAATGTTTCCATAGACAAGGGGAGATTGCTGTCATCCTGCTCACTCTGGCCTCCTGGAGTCTGGCCAGAATCCTTTTTTTCCTTTCTTAGTCAAATCATCAAAACATGGAATAATATTTTCTTTTGTTCTGTCAAAGTAGAAACCAGTGAATCTTTCTTTCCAAGTAGTAAAAGGAAATTATTGGAAATCAGGTCTCCTGGGTCCCTCTACTACTTTAGCTCCCTGCTTCTGTTTCTTTTTCTTCTCTCCTCCTGCTTAAAAAACAAAACAAAACACTATAAACCATTAATGGTTGAATAGTTTTATTAAGCCTTTGGCTTTTTCCTGATTCAAAATTCTCCTTGTCTTTGAAAGAGCTAGTTTCCTTGCCCTCTTTATTCCTAAACATTTAAAAAATATAGCTGTATAAAAGAGAATGTGCTAGTTTTAACACTAAGTCCTACAGTGGATTGCTCATGTTTTTTCCCACAGTTGCATACATATCTTGATAGAAGTTCAGATCCTGTTGTCCTTTTTGAGATGGCATCTTTTGAGATACCTAAATGAGGGATGAGAGAGGATGATGTTCTGATAATAATGTGTTACCAGGTCACTTTGCAGTATTTTACTAATGGACAGAAGATTAATGGTGTACTGGTTAAAGTCTTAGGAATCAGATACACCCATGTGGCCAGTATTGGCTGTGTGTCTTGTTGGAGGTTACTTAAAATTTCTAAGCCTCATTTTCCTCATTTCTAAAATAATAATAGTAATAGTACCTATCTCATAGTGTGATTAAAATTAAATGAGATAATATATGTAAAGGGCTTGGTGCAATACCTGGTATGTAGTATGAATTTAATAAATAGCAATTGATATTATTAGACTGCTACCTCAGGGACTCTGTTAACCACTAACTTCCCGGTGTCTAGTGCAGGACCTAGCCCAGTAGGTACTCAGTAAATATATATATATATATTTTTTCCCTTTTTTGTATTTTTTCGTGTCCGGCAACGGATCGCAACCCTCAGTGTCGCGCCCGTACCGGACTGGGACCGGCAACGGGATCGCAACCCTCGGTGCTGCGCCCACACCTCGCTCAGCCAGTGAGCGGGAACCGGTCTGTATGTGGGATCTGAACCCTCGGCGGGTGCGCCGTCGCGCTCCCAAGCGGCGCACTGTAGCAGTGCGCCACCGGGCCGGCCCTCAGTAAATTTGTTTTTTCCCTTTTTTTTGTCTTTTTTCGTGACTGGCAACGGATCGCAACCCTCAGTGTCAGGCCTGCACCGGACCGGGACCGGCAACAGGATCGCAGCCCTCGGCGCTGCACCCGCACCTCGCTCAGCCAGTGAGCGGCCGGTCTGTACGTGGGATCTGAACCCTCGGCGGGAGCGCCACCGCGCTCCCAAGCGGCGCACTGTAGCAGTGCGCCACCTGGCCGGCCCATCAGTAAATATTTTTTGAATGACATGTGATAACATCTACTCTTCCTTTTTCTCCAGACCAAAAGAGTTTCTTAAATGCTAAAAATCTCTTTGCTGCTGGATATATATATTTTGGTTTTAGTATTCATGAGAGATGGGTTGAAGACATACATTTGAAAATTATTCCATCTCCAGCATATTTCCTGTAGTTTTTCTGCTTAGCAATACTTTTACTTGACTAGGCCTCTGGTGTATTGACCCTACCACCTTTTCACTGTCCTTGTCCCTTCCTTGCTCAGCTTACATTCTGTGGCTAATCATTGTAGTCAATCCCTTGCATATGCAGTTGAATCCTTTGTCTCTTTTTCACTTCATCATGCTCACTTGACAAAACTACAGACCTGGCTCATTCCACCTTCCTGCCCATTGTACACCTGTACCCATGCAACTGGACATGGCTGCTGTTGAAAAGCACACCACTAGGTTAACTTGTCTCTCTGATGTTTATGCCTGTAGGTTTCACAGTGGGCCTTTGATGCTTCCAGGCAGTCATACTGTAGCTGTAGTTCATTCGTTCTCCTGCTCTCTTAGGATGACTTTATACCTTCACCTCTCTCTTCAGATTGTCAGTACCTCCTCTCTCATCCTCACTCTTGGCTGATGATCTTGTTTCCAAGTTCACTGAGAAAAGTAAAGCAACATGAAGAGGATTTCCACCTACCAGCAATTCTCTTTTTCTCCATATCATTATATCTTGTTATAAATATATTTTTCCATCTTGAAAAAAACCCTCTCTTTATCACCAGCTATTGTCCCATTTCTTTCCTTTCCTTTGTAGAAGAACCTGAGTTGTCTATAGTCTGTCTGCAGTTCTTCATTCTCTGTCTCTCTTGAACCCACTCCAGTAAGCTTTTTGTCTCTGACACTCCACTGAGACTGTTCTATTCCTAAATTCAGAGGCCAGTCATTAGTCTTAAATTTCCTTTGAATGATCAGTAGCATTTGACCCAATTGATCTCTCCCTCCTGTGTGGTACACGTTCTTCACTTAGCTTCAGGGATTATAGTCTCTCTTGGTTTTTTTCCTGCCTTAATGGACATTCCAGGCTTCTTGGCTGGTTCCTCCTTTGCTCTGTGACTTCTCAGTGTTGTACTGTGTTAAGATTCAGTCCTACTCTTCTTCCTGAGTGATTCCATCCAGTCTCAGAGCTTTTACATGACATATGTTGATAACTCCTAATTTACATAAATCCCAGACCTCTCTCCTGAATTTGAGACTCATAGATCCATCTGCCTCCTTTACATTTCTGTGTGGATGTCTGACACCTCAGTCTCAACAGGACTAAAGCTGATCTCCTGATCTGCTTCCCCTCCCCTAAACCTGTTCCACCTGCAACCTTCTTCATCTCAGTTGATGCCAACTCCATCTTGTCAGTTGCTCAGACAAACACCTCTGAGAGATCTTTGACTTCTCTCTCTTCCATACCCTATATCCAGTCAGTTGAGAAATCCTGTTAGCTCTTCTTTTTCAGAATATGTCCAGAATTTGATTACTTCTCACCATTGCCACTGCCTTTCCTGCTTCAGGCCAACATTTTCTCTCTCTGGGATCACGGAAGTAGCCTCCTTGATTATATCCTACAGTCTATATTCAACACAGCAGCCAGAGTGAACCTGGAAAAATAAAAGTCAGTTTATATCATCCCTCTGCTGAAACCTTCCAGTGGCTTCTCCGTCTCACTAAGTGCAGAAAACCTTATGCAGTTTGGCCCTTTCTCCTCTCTGTCTTGCTCACCTCTGCTTTGCCCCCTCTACTCCAGCCACACTTGCTGTTCTTGAACATGCCATGCATGGATGCTCCACCCTTAGGGAACTTGCACTGGCTCTTCCTTGCCCTGGTATGCTCTCCTATTAGTTGTCTGAATGGCAAACTACCTCACCTTCTTCATATCTTCACATGTCTTTACATGTCTTCACTCACATGTCACCTTCTTATGAAATCTACCCGGACTGCCTCTTTTAAAATTGTGGTCCTCCTTTCCTGCAATTTTCCTGGCTCATACCTGGTGGTCGCAATTTCCCTTAGCACTCCCCCCTCTCTCTGTAGTACATATCACCTTCTATCATAACCATTTAATTTACTGACCCCTGTCCTCCCAGAAGATGGTGAGCAGAACAGGGATCTTTATCTGTTTTGTTTACTGATATATCCTAAATGCTCACTGCAGTGCCTGGCACATAGTAAGTGCTCAATAAATGTGTTAAATGGATGAGTACCGGGCCCATAGCAGGTGCTCAATAAATGGGTTAAATGGTTGAGTGAATGAATCAGCATACGAGGTGATGGGAGTGAATGAGATTATCTGTGGAAGATGTGTGGAGTGAAAGAAGTGGAGGGTGGAGGACTGAACTCCTGTGTCTGCCTTTAATCAATAACAGAAGTGATAACCTAGAAGTTAATAACTCTAGATTATTTGGAGAGTATAACCAAAAGTCAGTTGCAGGAAATAACAGCCAGGGAGAATTGCCTGAACGATATATGGCCTATACATTCTTTTTGATATTCTGATTTTAATCTTTGGATTAAGCCAAACAGTCAGAGAACTGCATATCTAGGACATTATTATAGCTCCCTGTGGAACTGTTTTTATTTTACTGAGCTTTGACTTTTGCCCATTAGCATACCATGAAGGACATTATTTTAAAAATCCTATGAGACTTCATTATATTATTGAATTTACTGCAGTTGTGTTTTTAAGGATGATGTTCTTTGTATCAGAAGGTGCCCTCTTTAAATGAGGACCAATGAGAGAAAGTTCCCTTAGTTCCCTTAAGTTTAATAACAATAGTAACTGTGCTTCTTTTGCACAACTTGTTTGATTTTATTGTATGGAGACTGCATTTTGTGTTAATGATCTTTATTTTCTTCCTTTTTTTTTTTTTTTTAACAATCCAGTCGTTTCTAGTATATCCACACAGTTGTACAACCATCACCACAATTAACTTTAGTACATTTTCTTCACCCCAAGAAGAAACCCCATACTCTTTAGCTTTACTCCCAATTGTCCCCAGCCCTAGGCAACCACTAATCTATTTTCTGTCTCTATAGACTTACGTATTTCGGACATTTCATATAAATTGAATCTTATGTGGTTTTCTGTGTCTAGTTTCTTTAACTTAGCTTAATGTTTTCAAGGTTCATCCATATTGTAGCATGTGTTTGTACTTCATTCCTTTTTATGGCCATATAATATTCCTTTGCATAGGTAATACCACATGTTTTTCATCTACTCATAAGTTGATGAACATTTGTGTTGTTTCTACTTTTTGGCTATTATGAATAATGCTGCCGTGAACAATCATTTGCAAATTTTGTGTGTACATATGTTTTAATTTTACCTGGGTAAGTGCATAAGAATGGAATTACTGGGCCAAAAGGTACCTCTGGTTTAACGTTTTGAGGAACTGCCAGACTGTTTTGCAAGCACCATTTTATATTTCCTACAATACCTTCAATAACACTTGTAATTATCTGACTTTTTGGTTCAGGCTATCCTAGTGGGTGTAAAGTGGTATCTTATTGTAGTTTTTTATTTTATTTTATTTTTTTTTCCTTTTTCGTGTCCAGCAACGGATCGCAACTCCTTTTTCGTGTCCAGCAACGGATCGCAACCCTCAGTGTTGTGCCCGTACCGGACCGGGACCGGCAACGGGATCGCAACCCTCGGTGCTGCGCCCACACCTCGCTCAGCCAGTGAGCGGGAACCGGTCTGTATGTGGGATCCGAACCCTCGGCGGGAG